TGTGGGTTTTTAAAAAAAAAAAAATTATTATCTAATCAAATCGGTCGCTTTCACAAACTACTCGGATTCAACCGTAACGTGTCCCGGTATTCATGTGGGCTCTCCCAGCTCAAACAATGCCCTTCACTTACCGGGTCTTCAATCGCGGCCTCTCCCTCTTCTAACCCCGGTTCTTCGTCCCCGACACCCGGGTCTTCCAGCTCGGGATGTCCGGGGTCTGAATCTAGTAGAGACTCCTCCGCCAGTCCGTTACCGAACTCCGCCATCGCCCTGGTCCAACTGTACCGACGCGCCTCGTGGCCAAACCAACGTTGCAGGCCCCTACTCACACACGGGGGGGAGAGTGAGCGGGGCGGCGGAAAGAAAAAAAAAAAACGGCGGAAAACGCCGCTTAGTAAAGTTAAAATGGGGAATAAAAATGCCAGCTACAGTTCCGGGCTCTACTCGAACAGCGTGCCAGGATTAACGAGGACTGCTGTTTCACTCGCTACCTTTACGCGACGGTCCTAATTGCCGACAGAGAAGCTAGTTTATTTACTTAAACGTGTGTATAAAAAAGGCGAGGACTCTACGCGAGAGCGGCGGCGTCCCTTCGGTTCAGAAATGGAAGCCAGGGGGCGGAGTCATGTATCACTGCGGGCGTACAACTCTCGCTCCTATTGGTCAGCGGCCGGCGCTAGACAAACCTCTTTCGCGTCTGCCACGATCCTATTGGATAAGCGCGCAGGACTTTCCGGTTCCCAAATCGCATGTGCGCCTTTAATTGGATAACGCGTCTGTCGATCATATCTATGGCAGTCGTAAGTAGACAGGCAAAGCCAATTGTTCAGCTAATTAATACCAGGAACGTTTGAATGGGTCATATAAATTGTCTTCCCCAGTGTGACCTTAGTGACCTTTGTCTAGGTATGCCGCTCAGGGAAAACCTCATTATATAATGTTTATATGAACAATTAAACCCTTGTGTCACACACACGCACACACACACAAAGGAAGAAACAAATGCCTCTACAGCACCGCAGACAGATAACCTGTGTTGTTCAACTGATTTTATTTCTTTTTCTGTATATCAAAGAAAGCATAATGGAGACCAAACACAAAAAGGCAGGTACAAGTGAGGAGGAAAAAAATAAGCTTAATCAAAAATCTAACAATTCATAACAACACTGCCACTATTATTGTTCAATATTCATAGGAATACCATACTGTTTTTGAGCAGAGAGGTGGCATTTAAAACCATTATGGATCAATAATAATCAAAAACAGTGATGAGTAGTAATGATAAATCGTATAAGTAGTAGTACAGTTATAACAATAGTGATAATCAAAGTGACAATGAAACATAGGGGAATAAAAAGCAGATCTCCATAAAAACCTATCTAGTTTGGACAGTGCAACACCGTGTCTGTGTGTGTGCGTGTGTGTAATCCCAGTCTTGAAGTTAAAGCACTCCAGTCCTTGCTTTACACACAAGATACAGTTTCCAACAGGAGTACAAACTATTACTCACGAAAAGGACAATTGTAACCCTCCTCGTTTCAAAAAAACCACACCAAGTGACTCTTAATGTTGTGTTAATGGCGGTGTTCATTTGAAATGTCTGTAGCTTGTGCAAAAATTGTGGACTAGTGCAAGTGTCAAGCCGTGGGATGTCCTTTACAGTTTGCATTTACGAACACCTCTCCTGCTCTCTGTCGACCTCAAGATTGCTTTTTGGTTTTTGAATGACAGAAAGCAAAGGGAGGATTACTTTGGAATATCAGTTATTTTTAATATATTTCTTTACAAAAGTTCATGTTTTAGTTTTGCATTTTGTTAAAACTATCAATAGTAACATTAATATACAACTTAAATTGAAGGAAAACATCTTTAGTATGTTATGTGTCCTTCAACACAGCACCATCTTATTAGCTCTCAGTCAACACATTTAATGTTTCCCAATTTGCTTCCAAGTTTTGAGTATCCATTAGTCCCATAAGGATACTAGTAATACCCAACTTTCTCCCTTGTCATGGTTTCCAGATATTAGATCTCATTTCACAGCACGTACATTACCAGAATTAGTAACTCTGTATCAAAACTGAACAAAACGAGGGGAAAGAAAAACAAAAAACAAAAATACAGGAAACAACCCATTTCAAGCCCTGTTCTCTTAATATTTCTAGAGGCTTGGCTTTTGACCTAAATAAAAATCTGTTACACCAGTTTTTAATTGCTTCTATTGTCATTTGTATAAATATTGAAGTAAATAAAATGAGTACTTAACTTTCCTGTCTTATGCACAGTATTTATGGCAAAGAAAACAATTTACAAAAAAAAAAAAAAAATAACGGTCTGACCCTCCGTGCCAGGGGAGGATGAAATGAATCCACCAACATTAAAACGAGGATCACCTGGGCTTTAATTTATATACCTGGTGGTGTTTCTTCTTAAGGCTGTCATATTTCTAACACACTGGTCAGTCGGTGAAAAAAACTTAGATTTTTCTCCCAACAGGTCTGAAGAGCTGCGTTTCAAAATGAGACGTAAGAGCATTTGGAGGGAAAGTGAAATCCACAGGATCAAAGAAAGGTGTTGTAAAAAAAAAACAAGATGGTAATTATGGTCCTTGGCCGAGAGAATGCTGACAACTTTTACAGGCAGGATTTGCCATGTTTTAGATACAGATTGTGACATTCAGATAGTTTCCCTTCCTCCTCCTCCTCCAAGATGGATATAAAAGCATTTTGGAACAGAGCTCTTCTTCATTTGTATACCCAGGTCTTGCACAATATTATGCTTACACTTAAAGCATGTTTCATTAGACTAGCAAAAAATCAATTTATTTCACGTGATTTATATTAAGGCATCCAACATGCATTAAAGTATCTCTCCATAAAAAGACACTTGCATTAGAATGCTTAAAAACATTTCAAACAATGTAAAATGTGTCAAAGTGCGGTATGCCAAGATTCTACTTTCCTCAGCCTCTCTTTTTGCCCTGTCTATTTGGATTGTCGTGAAAACATGTAAATGGGGACAATTCAACAGCCCTATTCTCTAAAGTACCTCTTTTTATATCCCAAATGAGTGGACACAACACTCTTCAAACCACACACTCCTGTAGCAAATAAAAAGGTGACAGTCAATACCAGTTCTTCCTCTCCCAATGGTTCTGTCCAGTCATATTATATCCAAGCAATCGTTGCCCTAAAAGTGAAAGTAGGCATGAGAAAAGCAATTCCACAGGAGCAAACTGGGAGTTATTAATGTGAGTATTTCGTGTTATTATCCCAAAAAGTGTTTCCAGGCCTACCGTCAAATGGCCACTTTCAAAGAGGAAAACACTTTTGCATCAGTCTTTAGGGTAGGACAGTTCAAGCATGGCGAGTTGAGCGCCTTTACAAATTATAGGAAGGTCATTGAAGTACAGTAATATATAACCACAGGCTTAGGACCAGAAATGTTTGGATAAAGTGTGTGAGGATTGAGGGAGACTTGAGATGTGTTCATCACTTATCAAACAGCAACTGGTTAAGTGTGAAGCAGCGTGGAAATAGTCTGCTGTTGTATTGGAATTCAGGTTAAATCTTTAGATGAACAGATTTTGAGTCAGTGAAGGTTGAGCAAGGGATAGCGGGTGCAGGGGGAGCCAACTTCAAAAACTAAAGAATATTAGCTTCTGAGGATTAGTGCTCAAATTTGTTTATTAAAATCTGAGGAGCCCAAATGGGTCCAAGAATAGTCAATGTGCAGACCAATCCTGATCTGAGTCTAACTGTTGCTGGTGGCCGTCGGTGGAGGCGACTCGATAACCATCTCCCCTCCGGAACCAGCACTGGTTACGGGAGTGGAATGAGGGACTTGTGAGCCCGACACGACACTGCCAGGTCCGCCATTGCCGGTTCCGTTCTTGTTGACGAGCGTCGTCGGCTGGCCGAAGTTAGTGGTTCTCAGGGTTGCCAGATGACGCGGGGAGAAGACGTGGGCCCTCGCTGCAGCCCGCGATTCAAAGGAGACGTTGCAGGCGTCACAGTGGCCTGTCAGGGTCTCCTTTGGCACTGGCTGGCCGGCCATTGGGGAAGCTGGAGGTTCAGTAACTGTCAGCTGAACAGGTTTGGGCAGGATGGGCCGATTGGCTTTGAGAGCGTTGTACTGCAGGTAGCTTCCTGAGCTCATGTCCACCTTCCCGCCTGACAGAGGAGACTGGGAACCAGGACCAGGGAGGGAGAGAGGGAATATGTTTAATGTCACATCATTTAAAAGGTTTGACTGAACCATCTGACTAATATTCAAGCTATCTATATGCAAATATAATATGTGTTCATGAGCAATAGTTTGAGTACTCGAAACTACTCAAAATAATCAATATATACACTATTCTTACAGTGTGGTAAAACTGTTCTGAGCACTAGAGTTGAAATCCATTTCATTAATATTCTGACGTTTCTATCACGACATGGCAATTATATGCAAAATTTCATAAGAAAATCAACTATGCTCAGAAAAAAAAAAAGATAATTTCTAATTACAATGATTTGGCACAAATCATTCATTTAATTTCCAACATGTTTTAACTAAAGTTAACCGTAGTAGGATTCCACTGAAAATCAATTATCACCCAGCTCTTAAATTAAAAAAAAGGTAGGTAGGTCACTTCTCAGTGACCTACCTACCTATCAATTTCTTACTGTATATGCTATAATGTGATTTTGTACCAAAGACTTTAAGAAAAGTACTTTTTAGTAAGTCTACTCGCCAGCTTACCATTTTCTCTTGCTGCAGCCTCCAGCGCTTCTCCTTGGCTCTAGTGTTTTGGAACCAGATCTGCACCACCTTGAGCGGCAGGTTGAGTTCGGTGCCGATTGCCTCACACTCCATGGCGTTAGGGTGGGCACAGGTCTCGTAACAGGACTGCAGGATGGACAGTTGTAGGCAGGACAAGTGTGTGCGTGGCCTACGGCTGGATGAGTGGGGCAGAAAGCTGCTTTCCGTTGGGCTTGATTTAGCTATGACCGGGGTGGAGGGGCTGGCCACTTTGGCAGAACTGGGGGTATTCGGGCTGACTGGCGCAATGCTGGGGGTGGGAGGAGGAGGGATGGTACGAGGAGGCGTGTGTGTGGGGAGAGCCAGTTGTTCTCTTGATATAGTGTTGATCTTAATGGGGACTTTGTTGGTCCAGTAGTTCAGCCCATTTTGTTTTTGTGGCACCACTGTTGTGGCAGGGGGCCTGTTGTTGATGGGCGTTGTGGGAAGCTTGGGCACCATGCGGTTAGTGGCTCCCGGTCCGGGACCCACCTCGTTTTCATTGTCTTTCTCCTCATCAGTCTTTTCTTCCTCGCTCTCCTCTTCTAGCTTTCGTTTCTGGGCTGGTCGCGGGGCGATGGGGATTGGATCCTTGGGTGGCGCTAAGAGGACAGGGGTGTTGACTTTGGGTGCAACTTTGACCATAGTGACGTTGCTGGTGGTTTCGAGCTTGGTCTTTGGCACTGCAGAAGCACTGCTGCTCACAGGACAGACTGTGGTCGAGGAAACAACCTCCTTGGGTTTGATAGGAACTGGGGTTATTTTTTTCACCACAGCAGGCTTGCCCAGCTCCTTTACAGGCTCTCTCTCTGTCTTCATGAGGGTGCGCA